GTTTTGTTTTCATATATTTTATAGTCCCAAAAGTCCCCAAAAATGCTACAGATTTAAGGAAAATGCGCGTGTACATTAGACCCAGTAGCATAAAAGCAGTGTGTTCCAGTGTGCAACTGAGTGTTTTCGTACCCTCCTGCAACGTGCGCGTGTTAGCAGCCGAGTCTCCTCCGATGATGTAGAGGATCCGCAGTAGCTGCAAGACATCCTCCACTCCACAGGCATTCTGGCTGCATCCTGCCTTCGCCTGCGCAACCTCCCTGGCACCGCCCAGAATCTCACTGCTCTGATTGGCTGAAACTGAACTGGGGCTCAGGCCACCAGAACGGCCCCCGACCCCAATGCTGTGTTCACAAAACTCCTGTGAAGGGGAACAGATCCGAGGTCAATGAAGAGATATCAGACATCCGTCAGACATAAAGAGAAAACTTGGACAGACTCACCATCTTTCCACTCTCCTTCTCTTTATCAGAGTCTTTCAGCTCTCTGTACATTATCCTGCATTAAAAACAGAAGTCAACAATTGTCCAAGACCTGTCAAATGCAGTAAAGTTTGCATCAGATGTCTCCTCTCTTACGTGTACGTGGGCTCCCAGATGCGCCTCAGTTTATCCGTCTTGACAGCTCCGTTGCAGGAGAGCTGCAGCAGCCGCTGGACATAAAAGAAGATGGTGGACCTGTAGTTGGTAAGAGGAAGCTCCACCTCCCGGGTTGTACCCAGCCCAGCCACCTGAACACACAGACAGGACAGATACAACAACTCTTTTCCAAAAATATACACGCAATAAAGGAAAAGGATAAATGATATAAAACTGAATATGTTCCTAAAATTATTTTGGTACCAATTAACTTTCATTTTAAATGCAACATGAGGGTATTTTTTGTTTGTTTGTTAAATCAACTACCATGGTAATTTTTGCACAGCACTGCAAAAATCTGAGGATACAAACGTGCTTAAACATTGTGACCATCCTGTGATCGCACAGACAGACTGATAGACTGGGCAAAAGAAAGAGTATTCTGTGGATGAATCACCAATGACAGCTGGGAAAGGAACTGACTGTATCCTACAAAATATACTCAAAGTCTTCTGCTGATTAAACTGAAATAATTATTTTAAGGGAAAAAAAAAACCATTTCATTTGAGCACCAAGTAATTTATCTTACCTTAAGGGTGAGAGCGAGGTGAGGAGAGGGAGCACACTCCACCTCCTCCTGAACCTCGGATCGAGGAGTCCCTGGACCAAGGGAGACAGAGAAACCCCTTTTTAAAAACATGGATGGAACATTACACTGCAGACCTTTCATAAAAGAGTTTATTTTTCTTTGAAAGAATGATGATTTCAGATCTAACTAAGATCTCAAATAAACAACTGAACTCTGAAAAAGATTTCTACACCAGTAGTCAAAATTTCTGTGCAAGTTCTATAGCCTCAAGGATTCTTTCAGTCCTCATTTCCTGACTTGTATTTTTGGTTAAATATCTTCTATTTATACTACCCCATTAATATCCATAAATACTCTCTCTACCCGTTTCAGCCTTTAACATCAACAAGGTGTTAAACAGAATATGCTACATTGAGAAAACAAATCAGTTGGGTCCATCATAACATAGAACTTTTATTCAACAAAATGAAAAATGAACTTAAAACTAATTTCCTGTAATGCAATTATTAGTTCAGTGGTTGGTCAGATAAACAACAGGAGGCACCTGCCATTTAACTGATCACCAGTCCGTGTCATTAAAACACCACAGAAGAATAGGATATGTGACATTAGAAGTAATATTTTTCTAATATTAATTACTGTTTAAATAAAATCATATTAGCATTGCTGCAGGACTATCACCGATCAGTTATGTTGCCGTGATGTCAAAGCTTTGACAACTAACAAAATAACAAATGAATGCCAACAACAGCATTTACAGAAACTAGCTGAAAGTCCTGTCATGAGCAAACACTTCCTCCTTTGCATTTTTTTTTTTTTTTACCTGGAGGAGGGATCTCCAGGTCTGTGGTCTGCTGGACATTGGTTCTTCCTGGTCGGGGGTCAAAGGCAGGAACCAGAGCAGAAAATTGCCTCTTTAGGACAAAGTCGTCATCCCATGTCCTCCTGCGTCCTCCTTTGGTCTCATACTCCTCCTCTTCCTGCAGAACAGCAGTGACATAGTCACCCCTCTGAAGGGCTTTTGTACAAAACATCCACAGCTACAGCGAGAGATCATCTTTGAATCATCAGGGGGGAAAAACCCAAATCTTTAAAATAAGCCCAGATCTATTTACGTACCAGGACCTCCTCATACTCTTGATCCTCCTGATTGTCATCTTCGTTCTCGTCATCATCGTCATCAGGCTCTGGGAGGTCCTCCTCATCGTCCAGCTCAGCCAACAGTGTGTTGGCACGGCAGCTGTCCAGAAAGTCTAAAGGGAGAGAAAATGAGCGGATGGACATGAAGTCGGTTAAACAACTGAGAATAAGGGAAAGAGGGGAAGATGGCGCTTGGCACACATGTTGATAAATTCTAGAAACATGAGCTTAGGTTTGGTTAATTCTGGTCCGGTTTATTCAAATCCAACCAGTTACTATACATATTATACAAAGACATGCAAAGACAGTCTTAAATGATCAACGTTTATGTGTTTTAATGATCTCTGCATGTTTTCTATTATAAAGATGTAACTGGTGTTATGACTTGTTCTAAAGAGCATGTACACACACAAGCAGGGAGGTAGTAACGCAGCGGTCCCCAACCTTTTTTGCGCCGGTTTATGCCCGACAATATTTTCATGGACCGGCCTTTAAGGTGTCGCGGATAAATACAACAAAATAAAACTAGTACCGGTACTGAAAAAAAGAAGATTTATTCATAACACACGTGAAAAGACCCAGGAAAACTGAGTTAACGATAAAAACGATAACAAACTAATGCTGAAAACCGAAAAAAACCCTGAAAATCATACATTTCACACCTGAGCCTCAACTCTTGCGGCCCAGTACCAAACGACTCACGGACCGGTACCAGTCCGAGGCCCCGGGGGTTGGGGACCGCTGTAGTAACGTGATCGTGAACCTGGGAACAAGTATTAGGGTCACCGTTTGCCTTTAATAACTTTGCTTAAATATATGATTATGTTTAAAAGCAAAACTACTTGGTTTAAAGATTTGCGTCAAGATATGCATTGTAAGGGCACACAGGACGAGAGCGAAACAACCTGTCTCCAAGATGCCAGTTGTTAAGATTTTCAAGGGGATTTTCACCATCAAGCTGAAAATGATTTCTATGTTTTTCTTTTCTGTTATATTTACAAATAAAATTAAGGCTAAGCTCTATGCTCCTATCTGCTAACTTTTACACAGTTCAGGTAACCAGTGTGCTGACTTATATGAGAGACAATAGGCAGCACAAGTTAGCTGAAGCAGGCTCAGTGAGTGAGTGAGAGTGTGGTCACCAACCATAGAGAGAGAACTCGGCCTCCTGGCCCGTGTCGCTCTCGCTGGATGTAGACGTCAGGCTGGTTGTAAGGGTGTTGCTTAGTAACTGGCCCACCGACAAACCCGTGGTGGCTGTGGCTACATTATTGCTGCTGGTTACTATGGAGGTGGACATGGTAACGGTGGAGGTGGTGCCAGTGGTGGTGAGGTTAGGAAAGCTCTGAGCACCCATGAGAGGAGAAGCTGCAAACAAACACACACACACAAAAACAAACAAATGGTGGTTAGTTTGTCAGAAACCAAAGAAACAAAGCAGCAGGTGAAGCTCGTTATGCTCCAGTCATCTAACTGGAAACAGCTGATTGGCTGGAGGCAGCTCATGCGGTTTACCCAGTGATCCAGAGGAACGATCCTCCACATGTGGTCTGAGTAACTTTGGACTTAAAAATACTACGAGATAATATTTGAAGCTGAGAACAAGCATCTTCACACAGCCATTCAAACAGCAAACTCAGCTTACTGAATCGTGCCCTCTGAGTAAATAGTGCATCCGTTCCTAATTTTAAAAGCAATTCTAAACACACATCCTGTGGTCTCCGCCTCACTGACCCAGTTTGGGAACTTTATTTGTTACTAAGTGTCATTATTACTTTGTGTAAAACTCTAATCCACTCCATTATTCATCTAGTACAGGGGTTGGCAAACCTGGGCACATGTGCGACAGCTGGCACGCCAAGGGTTAACGGATGGCACGACCATAGGGTGTTTCTTTGTTTCTATGGGCTGATGTTTTGTTTTGGGGGGGGTTTTGTTTTTTTTTTTTGTTTTTTTTTTTTTGGGGGGGGGTAAGTGTATAAACATGAAAGGTGTGGATTGGCCAGATGCTGGCCGATGTGTAAGAATAACTCAACTCAATAACATATGTATCTCTGTATTAACAAACATGACATATTTACCCATTTTATTTTTTTTTTTTAATTTATTTTTTTTAAGGTTTCTCTCATGCACTACGGTGGGTTACCCAGTGCCGGTCCAGCAATGGACGATGGGATTAAGTAAATGCTAGAGTTGCATGTTTTACTATAAATTTGCTGATTTGTGATAATGACATACTAACACATTAACACATATGCCACACTCATGGAAAGTGCACTTAACTAGAAGGAAAAAAAAAAATGTTTTTTAAAAAAAAAAAGGAGAGAGAGAAAAGGATTTTTAAACTCCTGGTCTAGTGTAAGGGGCTTGGAAATAAAACCGTCTGGAGAAGAAGTTTCTCAGATGAGAGGTGAAACGTCTTCAAGCAACTTAAAGAAGTCCAGACGTAGTCTAAGGAGCTTGGAAAGAATAGCGTCTGGACTTCTTTAAGTTGCTTGAAGACGTTTCACCTCTCATCTGAGAAACTTCTTCTCCAGACGCTTTTCTTTCCAAGCTCCTTAGACTACGATGACCTGAATGACTGAGAACCTTCACAGGCAACTCCTGGTCTACTTTGTGCAACGTTTTAGTGGAAGAAGTACTGCCACTGATTATTCTCAAAGCAGTAGGCTGTGGTTGGGCTGACTGCTGTGGTGGTTTCTATTATCGTCGACTCTAGGTAACACACCAACTGTGGACCTGAATTTTAAAACAATGAAATGATTAACATTTTAAACATGAGAATGAAATACGGAAAATTATTTTACCAAGATTACTAAAAATTGAAGAAGGTCCAGACAAAAAAAATAAAAATGTTTTGAAGTATTACCCATGAGTTTGTTTTTTGCATTTTATACCGATCAGTGCATTTCAGAATCGGTGCCTGTGACGACTCATATATTGCTTTTGTGGCAAATATTTAATAAGTTATATGCACCATGTATCACCATTCAGCTGAACAATGTTGCCATATGCCCCAGCTCCAACTCAAAAGATAATTAGATTGTAATACTCAAGTTATTTACTTGCTGGCAGTACCCGTGATGTTCCGTGATAGTGGACTGAGGTGTAATACCAGTCTTTTAATGGTATGTTGTAAGAATATTGTAGTATTAGTGCAGTAATCCTGCTGTACTCACTGGCAGTACTCATGACGTTTCTGCCCAGCGTGTTGGTGTTGTTGTCGCTGCTGCTGCGGCTCAGGTTCATGTTATTTGTGGCATTGGTGCGCGACATGTTGGGTGCACGGCGGACGAAGGACTCCATCAAGCTGGCCTCGCGAGATGACAAATTAGGGACGCTGGCACTGGAGCTCATGGGAGCGCCGGCAGCCAAGAGGGAGCTGACCGATAGCCGGGCATTAGCCACCGAGCACATAGGCCTCTGGGAAGGCGTGTCCTTGCTAGATGACTCCGACACCGAGCTGACATCAGGGGAGCTCACGCTCACTAGCCCCATGGAGATCGCTGTTGCCGGGTCAGTGGTGGCCATTGCTGTGGATGAGTCTTTATTTCTGGTTTCATCTGCTGTGGTGGATGCATCACCAGTAAGTGTGCCTGAGCTGGATGCTGAACCAGATCCGCCCTCTGCTGCAGAGGACAGAACGACAATTGGCTCTTGCTGATGTCCATCAGAGCCAACCCCGCCTCCCATTACTCCTCCTATCCCGGTTCCTTGGTCAAGCACTAGCCCATCAGTTCTTCTCTCCAGTCGCAGACCTCCTGCACCTGGAAAACCAGCGGAGGAACTTAGGCTGATGTCAGAGGAGGAGGCGACACTGCAGACAGAGCTGCTGCTCCCCTTTCTGCTGGAGGAGCTGGCACCCCCAAGCGATGAGGCCCCGCCCTTATCAGGACAGTTATTTTTAACCAGACTGCTCCATGACTGCTGAAGCGAGGATGACGATGTGGAGGAGGAAGATGATGAGGTGGTGGTGGTGGTACCGCCGCCGCTCGCCGCCTGCGTCACAGAGGGTCCCACCGTGGTGGAGGCGGGGCCTGAAACAGTGGATGAGACAGGTTTGGGTGACGGCGCTGTGGCAGCCGACTCAGGGTCGTACCCTGGAGCAAGCTTGAGGTCAAACTTCCCTTCAGCGCCCATACGGTAAGAGTTAGAGCCGCCAGCATCCCAGGTTACATCAATCCAGCCTGGATGGACAGAGAGATGGGAGGGAGACGGACGGATAGATGTCAGAGACCCGAGAGAGAGACAGAGAAAGAGAGACAGTAAGAGAAGTAGACAGCAGAGAAGCAGCTTACAGTCAGAGCAGCTCCACACTGGGCCAGATCAAATACTTTACATGAAATATTGCTTTAGAGTCACAATGAAACAAAGCACTAACTAGCCTGAGAGAAAATATAGTATAGTGAGAGAAAATTACTATACTTGAGTGTTTTGTTTTGGGGGGGTTGTGGGTGTGGGTGTTAAAACATCTTTTGCCTGATAAAAAGAGTTGTTAACTGACTACCACATTCCCATCTTAGATCCAACAATGTGTCCAAATAACCAATTTTTAAAGAGGAAGGGATATTATTTTAACTAACCAATAACTATAGATAAACAGATTTTCATTAATATATCATGCTTTTTAAATCAACACTGACAAGTACATGTGCCATCATATGGTTTTCAGTTTTGTTTGTTTTGTTTTTTTGTTGTTGTTGCAGTTTTAGGAGTTGAGAGCCAAGCATCTGCTGAGCTACACTCCACAACAGTTAAATTTCCTCCAAGCTCTGTCAGTTTGCTTCCTTGGTCCTGTGGGGTCATCATTTACATGTCACAACTAGGAATAATGGGCAGGAAACTGAATCAAACCACGTACTGGCTCTTTAGAGCACTAGCTCTAGCATTGGCTCTGGGTTTGGTCAAGAGTTTTTTAAAGACAGATTGAACAGTTTTAACTACATTCCTCAAAAATAAATAAATAAAACTTAAAAAAAATAAATAATTAACATTAACTAAATAATAAATAAGTGAATATTTGCTGTACTGTTTTTTACTTTATGCTGATAAATATACTAAATATTTAAGTGATGTTTCTTCAGTAGAGTTCACGCAATATAAACCTATTGAACACATTTGTTCCTTCCTTTGTGTATTGTACAAACAAAATGTACAGAACATAAAATAACATTGCAAAAATATCATGTAATTCCCAATAAGGGTGCCATTTCATTTGATTTTAAAGAACAGCACACTCATTGATGTTGTCTGTTTAAATTTCTAATGTGGGGTTCTGGGTGCAGGTGGAGCAACAAGAGAGAAGAATATGGACATGATCATAGAAAATGACAAAGCAAAAGTAGAAAATACTTCTGGCAAATGCAAAGCATCAAAGATGAAAGGAATTAAACTCAAATAATGACAGTCATCTTGGCTTGTAATGATTTTTTTTTTAAGAAAAAGAAATAGGGAAAAAAAATGGAGCTGCTGGTGGTGTATCCATTCGTTCAGCTCACTGAGATTGCATCAGATCTGGGTAAAAAATAAAGGTGAGAAGCACAAATGGGATAGGAAGAGAAAGGAAGAGGAGGAAAAGAACAGGAGAAGAAGAGAAGGAGGAGGAGGAGAGGATGTTTGCCCTTATCTGACTCTCCAGGTTAAATTGTAGAATTGCAATTTCTGGTTTTGAAGCCAAAAGGGAAGACTCCGGAAATCCTGAAACAAAATTATCTCTAAAATTTTTATGTCATTTTTCACTAATCTCACACCTTACAGAAGGAAAAGGGCCCATTTCTTTCAGTATGACTAGACATTCCACAATCTATCCACTCCAACACTAACCATTCCTCCCCATCTGGCCCTTTCAAAAACCACTCAGCTGGATATAATGTTGTTGCTTAAAGTTACAAAAAAACATTATAAACTAATTAAGTTATAACTCACTTGCCAGCTTCATCATGTCAGTTTTTGTTAGGGAAACTGACTAATGATGTGTACATGCGTAAGTTTCACCTACTTTAGCCAATTAGATAAGTTACCACAATCAGGGAGCTGTCCAATTATCCTAGATTCAACAATTCACACTCAACCCTTCATTCTACCAGCCTATCACAGACAGATTTGAACTGAAAGGTATTTATCCACAGAACACTTCCTAAATGCAGATTCCACTTGGCTGTTTACCTTTTACTGTAACCACAGTCCCCTGTGGAGATCAATTAAACCAGTGACATGTGCCTTGTGAACATGAAGCTAAATACAAGAAAAGAAAAAAAAAAAAGACACCGCTGACACATCATCCTTCTGACATCTCAAGGTGAAGAAGGGAGCAGGGAGAAAAGTGTAAACACAGTTGTTCAGTAACCTGCTGTGTTAAAACATATTTTACACAGTACAAAGACCTGGGTGGGGAGGCTGAAGCCAGGGTTTAGATTTTAGTTCCTGAAGACAGAAACAACAGGGCTGAGGCCTGTACTACAAAGCAGGATTTCATCTTACCCAGGTATCTTCAGGGTTAATCCTGGGTTTTCTGCACCACAAAGGTGGAGATCAACATGTATAAAGTCACTATCCACTGATCAATCAAGTCCTCAGATAATAGCAGCTTCTACTATCAACGTGTGCTGCTAGAAGAAGGGTCTAAGGTTTTGTGCCACATTTTCACTGATGCCTTTACAGCATGTCGTAAGTATGTTTAAGTGTTTTACCCATTTCGAAAATGTGTAAAATCTTGTTGTACTTTATTCTAATTCTAAGTCATCTTACACTGGTGGAGTTGCAGCCATAGAGCACAGAACACAAATCAAGAATACCTGTCTAATCACTAACCCTGTAAAGCCTGATGTCTGAAATAATTGCCAGAATATCCTAATTATTTGAAACTGGAGTGTTTATTGAACATTCAGATTTTTTTTAAAGTGTTATTAGTTAAGTGCATATTTGAGTTTTAATATGTATCATTTTGCTACATCTGGCATTTTTTGTGCAATTTATAGCTCACGGTAGCACTGCGTGTCTTAACTGTATTCATCAGGTGTCACTCGACACATGAAACCTCCCTTTTAGACTGGTCAGACATTATCGCCACCCCTTTCATGCGAACGCACAGGAGAAATAACAGGTTGAGCCCGCTTCATAGTACAGGCCCTGGACTCCTGCAAAACATTTTGGAAAATGCACTACAGCAGTTAAACCAGCTGGGATCCACCAGCTGTTGGGTAAACGGTGCATTGGGTTTTTTTTTTTTCCTGTTCATCACTTTCTGTTTCATCTGGTCTTGTGTGTTTGCTTACCATTGTGAGCCTCTCCAGTAATGGTGCCCTCTCCAGGTGGGTTTCCATCCTGGTCGCGCCACTTCCAGTCGATGCCCCGAACAACCCGTGCCCCTGGTACGATGTACTTCATCACCTGAGAACGAAACAGGCGGCGCTGGCGGCGAAGGTTTGCTTCTGCCTCCTTCACAGCTTTACCTGCAGAACAAAGAAGCAGCCAAATTAAAATCTCACATTAAAATCTCAGGGTTTGATTTGTTTTCTTTTGCTGTTTTGGCTTTTTGTCTAAGTAACTGTCAAATTGGTTAACAATTTGACAGTTACTTAGACAAAAAGCCAAAACAGCAAAAGAAAACAAATCAAACCCTGATAGAGTAATGCAACAGTAATGCAAGGCTTTAAGATAAGGTTCATAAAATGTTAAGCTACTGACATAATTTTCAAAAATGATACCAACAACTAAAATCCTCTGGTTGTCAATCACTAGAAGCAAACTGCAACGGAAGCAAAGTTCTCACCCAACTGGTCCTCACAGACTGCAGTGACATTCCCGTACAGCTCAAGTCCAGATAGTGACAGATAGTGTGTCTGGCCGCTGGCGTTCTTTCCCATCTGTTTAATTCTGATGTGCCTCCAGCCCTGCTTCTCTTCTTTAGATGGGTCCAGAGGCCACGTGGCTGTCGACCTGTGAAAACAGTTAGATAAAATTTCAACCATCTATGGACTTTGGTTATTCAGCAGTTTAAATGAATTTAGAGAAAAGTCTTACCCGGGTTCATTTAGGCTGCTGTCATCTACGTGGGTGTAAAGAGTCGTCCAGTTCTGACCATCTTTGGACACCTGAAAGACCCAGTTCCTCAACGCAGAGCGGCCATAACCCCTGCAGGAGGATTAATATTTTAAAAATTAGACATGCTAATTTCATATCTGCCATTTGTCAGGATCTGTGTATGTTAGTTATAGGGGCTTCTTCCCCCCTGCAGTTTCAGTGTTTTATTGCATGGAATGGATTAGATTTATCATCCAATATCTCTCAGGAGGTAGGCCCATTCTATTCAATAATGTCTCATTGTGTCATTCTGTTTAGGGCTGCCACGATTAGTCGACTAGTCGTGATTACGTCGACTATTAAAATCGCCGACGACCAATTTAATAGTCGACGTGTCGTTTGAAGCTTTGTAAGATCCCAAAAGACGCAGGAATAAGTAGTAGGATTTAAGAGTGTAATAACGGACTGAAACAGAAGATGGCAGCACTGCATGTACAAGGATGCCAGCTGCCGTTAAACCCCCAAGAGGTGTAGAATTGTTACCACACAACTTGGTCAGGTGGTATATTGGTTTTATTTCCTGATGTCTTCAGTAGTTTCTACACTACAACGTGAGGTAATAACTGGCAGACAACGTTTTATTTTTCTATACGACATAATCATGAAAAACGATGATGATGGCGATATTGACGCCAGTATGTTAGAAAAAATTAAGGGACAGGAGCATGTTTCTCACAAGGTTTCATCAACTCCTCTGTTAAGATTACTAATTGGTATGCTTAGTTTCTTGCTTGAAGACTTTTTATTGATTTTATCACAGCAAATACTTAGTGGGTTAGCAGACAGACTCTTGCTACAAAGCCATAATTAGAATTGCATGTAAATGGCTTTTTGGCAATAACTTGCTGAAATTAGCAGGGCCTTTTTTTTTCTAAAAATGGCTTTATCTGGATGGCACACATGTTACTCCAAAACAAATATATACTATACACGGGGTGATTTTGGCATGGATAACTTGCACATATATGGCACCATCATGAATAACCTTTGAACTATGTGTAGATCTTCTGTGTACTTCACAGAGGACTCTGCATTGATTTTTTTTTTAACATTTTTTTTAGATTGCTCAAACAGAAGGTCAGTGTTTACGTTTTTAGCCGCCTTGTGTAGCTCAAGATTTGGCTCAGTTTTTACAATTGTAATCTGGTGCCAGACACAAGTAAACACCTAACTGAATATCTTGCATCTAAACTGATTAGCTTAGGATAATTTACGCCAGTTAGAGGCAATCAGACGTTGCCAACACCCAACATTCCTAGATAAACCAAAGTTAGATCTGGAGAGTAAATAGCACCTTCATGATATTTCAGATTCTATATTACCATGTGTTATGTGTTACATCATATGATGCGCCCATCTTATTACCTGGCATGCCTCAGAGTGTATGCTGAGGGAATGACCCACAGGCCGAGGTCGATAGCAAACCAGGCATTCTTGTCGTCATTCGTGTGGCAATTCAGAGCAGAGCTATCCCGACTGAGAATGTCTTCCAGTCTCCCGTAGGGGAGATTCCGGCCCTCTGAAGAGGTCACCACCACTAGGCCATAAGCTGCGGGGTTCACCCACTCGTAGGCAGTCCTGAAGAAAACAAATACTGGTTTACTGGGAAAGAAAACAAAAACAAAACAAAACTCCACTAAAGCTCCCCTGGCTCTAAATGTAAACATCTAAAACGTTGCATTACTTTTTAAAAGAACCGAAGGACTGAACAGAAAAGTGTGAAATATAGCATTTTACATTGATTGCAAGTATACAGAAAAATGATCACAAACCCTAGAAACTTGATTCTGTTTATCTGGACGTAGAGTTTTCATTGGGAGAAACATTTCATTACTCATCCAAGTGACTTCCTTCAGTCTGACCTGATGGCCCACTGTTAGTCAGTGGTGCTAATTTCAGTAATTATGCAAATGTACCGTCTATAGGGCTTTGGAGCACCCCCTCCCACCATGACAGTAGGCCAAACAGAGCACACGGAAGCGTCAGCTATGGTTCGTACGTACTGTGTTGTTGGTTGCAACGTTAGATCACATGACAGGGAAGGCAAGAAGCTGGAAATGGGCTCTCTTTTCATCGTTTCCCCTCCTGGAGGCAACGGGAGGAATCTCATGTATCCGATATTACTAAACGAAGACGTCAGGCTTGGATTGCAGCGGTGAGACTCGGACCGGCACGCAAGGCGAGTGCAACGAAACCGAAAAAGAGCACCCATCGGAGGTAACCCCTGCCCCAAAAACATACAAAATTGCGCTCATTGTACGCTAATCTGCACATAACCTTCAGATGAATCACGCACCTGGAATACTGGTGTACATTTACCTTATGTGTATGCACTAATTTTATTTTACATGCTTTCATTATGCAGCTGCAGAGTATGAAGGTGTGCCCAGTGCAGAAGTAATAGATGAAGATCTGACAGAAGACCAACAACAAAATCACCATATCACGGAGGCTGTGGATGGGAGTTACTCATATTATGTGAGGGTGAAGACACGACACTGCTTGATAGGAATGTTAAGGTGTGCTGTGTTTTGGTGAATATGTGCCCCAGTGTGGTCGTCAAACCAGGGCCAAATGAAACTTGCTCTTGTTGAATATTCATAAAACTGCTGTGTTGCATGTACAGTTCATTGTAAATAATTGTACTTTCTGTCAAGTGGTTTCAATAAAACAGAAATGAAAAGTACGTTTATTTTTTTATTCAAGACCTGTTGACATGTACTTAGCAAGTACATGTGCAGGTACACGTGAAATGCAAACTATTTACATGGCAACGCACAGCTGGCATCAATCGTGAATCGTTCATCTAGAGCAATTTGGGGGGCAGCTCCGGAGGAGAAGTCAATGTTGCGTGCAACCTCTAGCTGTATCTTGGTCATATGGTCAACATACTCACAACGTGGAGGCTTAAAAACGGCCAACGCTGACTCCATGGACAAGGTACACGAAAATATCGGAATAGGACAACGGCGGTAGGCTG